CCTGGGGATGGCTGGGTTCTAGTTCCAATTACCTCTGGGAGGGACAGGCTTCATTCCTGGGATTCCTTCCTGTCAGGGACTGTACTGGGTGGTTAAAAATAACCGCCTCTCCCACATCTCCATAGCTTCCCCTGAGCGTCACCCCATGAAACAGGAGGGCAGGGCAGGGCTCATTTGCTCCATTATTCACGGAAGGACACTGAGGCTTGGCAAGGTCAGCGATTCACCCCAGCTGCCCAGCTATCTGGTGTCTGAGATGGACCTCCCAGCCACACTGCCAGTGCTTCCCTAGTGAGGTCATCTGTCAGGCGTCATAGGAGGCAGTGAATGCCCTGGAGTAGAGCACCATCTGCCTCTCAGTGCTCTGCCACCTCTATGTCACTTGCTTCTTTTCCCTTTTGACCAGAAAAACCAGGTCCAGGCTTGCCTTTGCAGGCCAGGGGTATCTAGCTAGAATTCATAGGTTCCTTTCCATCATGTTTGTTTTTAGATTGCCTTATGTTTATGACAAATGATGCCATTTTTTATTCATGATAATGGTATAAAGGTTTCTTTTAAAAATTTGGAGTTAAAAGAGATGTGTTGGTTGAAAATGCTAAATAAAGAGCAGTGCACGTGGTTCTTGGATGTGGCAGGACTCACAAAGGTGTTGCAAGTGCTGCCCTACAGAAGGCCCTATGGGCCCTGGCTGGTGTAGCTCAGCAAATTGAGTTCAGGCCTGTGAACCAAAGGGTTGCCGGTTCGACTCCCAGTCAGGGCACATGCCTGGGTTGCAGGCTAGGTCCCTAGTAGGGGGTGTGCCAACAGGCAACCACACATTGATGTTTCTCTCCATCTCTTTCTCCTTCCCTTCCCCTCTCTCTAAAAATAAAATTTTTAAAAAAAGGCCTTGTGGAATCTTCACCAACACGAAAGGAAACCTGTTTTGATGAGGAATCTTCACGAAACCCTCAGCAGATGAGTGTCAGTAACTGACTTATGAACTAGAATCCGCATTTGAGACCCTGGTCTGTGTTTCTCCAGAACTCTGGCTTCCATCAGAGACCTGACCCTGGCAGCTTCTCCTTTCTCATCCATTTTTGGCCACATACTCAACACCTAGACACGGCGGAGGCCCTCCTGCTCATAGTCTGTCACGGAGACCACAGTGGATACATGGGGCAAATATATCTGGATGATGTCTGTGGTGACGTTGCCACTTTAATTGATTGTTTGGTACTTGGACAAAGAAACAAGGAATGTGTTTCCTGCAGGTGAGATCTTTGGAGGAGGAAATGGGCAGCTCCAGTGACCCTGCCTAGTGAGTTTTCTCGCTGGGAACAGGTGAGGACGAGGAGAGGAGCCAGCGTGAACCCGTGCCTCCTGTGTGCTAGGTATGCCAGGCAGTCCACCCAAACGATTCCATGTAATCCTCACAACAAACAGCCTGGTGAGGTAGGCACTGTTGTCTTCCTGGCAGATGAGGGAACAGGCCCAGAGAGATTAGGTGACTTGGCTGAGGTCGCACAGCTAGGAAGGGGCAGCTGGAATTACCCAGACAGGTCAGTTCCAGACCTTGCCCTGGCTGCCCCAGGGAAATAAGACAGTGGGACAGCTGAACTATAAAAAAAAAGGGTCTTTTTTAGCACATCCAGAGCATCGGCCCACCACCACCTTTAAGATATATGGGCCATTTTTTCACTTAAGCCCAATCCTCTACAGAGGCATCAAGCTGGGACATTGCTTCTTAAAATGGATTAAAGTATCCAACAGTCATTCCAATGACAAACAAGTCAGCCACTCACTCCCTCTGTCCAGCTCTAGAATAGCCTAGAATAAAGCTATAGTCCCAGAAAGAAAGAAAGAAAAAAAGCCAATGGCTAATGAATTGCATCATGTTCTAATGATGTTAGATACTTCCTTGGATTCTATAAGCTGCAGCCCCAGGATGCTTTTCAGCTAGAGCTTCTGATGCCGTGGAGGAAAGAGATGGACCTACGATGCTGAGAAGAATTAAGACTTTGGGGTCAGGCCACAGAGGCTGAAATTCTGGCTCTGCTGCATGGCTTTGCACAGTTCACTTAGAACCTCTCTGAGCCCCATTTGAAATTCAGGAATGATGGTCCTTGCCCCCCACCCCAACCCCAGGTTGTTCTAAAGAATAATTGAGTTACAGCAGATAGTATAAGGTGAGTGTAATGTACTTGATCAATGTCAGCTGTCACTCTCATTCTGGGGTTTGCTGTGAGACCAGACTTGCAAGTCAGAGGAGCAAGGGGGTTTGGTCTTTAACAGCTGCTGTGAGTGACCCAGATGAGAGATCCTCAGACGTCCTCTAGCCGCGGATGCAGAGACCTGGAACAAAGTCTCTGCTCAACTTGCTGTGTGACTTAGGGCAGGCAGGTCACTACCCTCTCAGGGCCCCTTCATTCTCTGGAGCGAATAGGACCTATTTGGATGAAGACCTCCCAAACCTCACACAACACCATCAACAATTTTTGTCCTACTGACCTATTGCCTGAACTGTTACTTATGTAGCTGTTTTCTTTAAACTGGCTCTTTACATTTTTCAAGTGGAATTAATATTCTGAGAAGAAAGGAGCTTTATATTACTTCCAGAAATGGAAATTTACATCACTTGCTATAAATAGAAAGTGACCTTAGAGCTAAACACCATGAAAATGGAAGAGCTAGTGAATTCCTGCTGGAGCTGGCACCTGCGAGGCCCAGAGCCCACCCAGCCGAAGGTTAGCCTGCCTGACACTCGTCTGGCACTTGATGCCATTCGTTGTCGCAAGGACTGGGGAAGGAGTGAATCTGTTTCATGGGTGATTCTGTGTTTTCTACCACTCCGTCCACAGAAGTCTGATATGGGCTCAAGTATGATCTGCCTTGGAGAGGGCTTCAGTGAGTCCCAGTGTGGGTGAGTCTGAGTAAGGAATTCTGCTCCAGGTCCATGGATACCAGGGCTCTCAGGAGCATCATGGACCCCACAGGAACCCCCGAGGTCACCTGGAGGAGGGAGGTCAGCAGAAGGCATACCCTCTACAGAGATACCCCTCTGTAGAGGGCCAAGCTCTCCGATGCTCTCTGGCTGTGGTCCCAACTCCCCCTCCTGCCTGCCAGGTCTAGTGGGGAGGTGGGATGGCACCAAAGGATTCAAGGACTTACCTGCCAGGATGTCATTAGTGGAAGTGGGGAAAGTCTGAGCAGTGGGAGGACAAGTTCCTAGCTGGCCTTTAGGAGGTAAGTCTGGCAGAGGACACAAGAAACTTGAGCGATTTGGCTGCTGCTAACCTCTTACCCCCACCCCATGCCAAAATACAGGAGGTTCTGGGACCTGTGTGCCCTGGTCACCTGCCTCTACCAGGCATACCTTTTTTTTTTCAATATTTTATTTATTTAGTTTTAGAGAGAGGGGAAGGGAGGGAGAAAAAGAAGGACAGAAACATCGATCGGTTGCTTCTTGTGTGCACCCTGACTGGGGACCAAACCCACAACCCAGGCATGTGCCCAGACCAGCTATTGAACTGGCAACCTTTTGCTTTGCGGGACGATGCCCAACCAACTCAGCCACACTGCTCAGGGCCCAGGCATGGTTTTTGTGCACAGCCTTCCCCAGACTCTGAGCTCCATGCATCCCCTATGCATCCTTCTGTTTTCGGGTATATTACCTCGGCGTAAAATGGCTCACTATATTGTGTGTCAAAGGCAGGCTCTGCACTCCTCACTTCCTTGGGCTCCCCAAGCCCAGCTCAGGACCTGGCACACGGGAGGGATGAGATTTTTGTAGTGTTTAAGATCACCAGTGGGACAAAGCCCTGGAGAGGTGGGCACCCTTAGACTGCTCTTAGTGTCTCCACCCGTAAAATGGAAGCATAATAGTATGTTAACTCCTGAGGTTGTTAGGAGGGTGGAATGAAATCACCTGTGTAAGGTTCAATCTCAAGCGTGCTCTGCTGGGAGCAAACTGGGATAAAGACTCAAGTGCAAGTTGTTTCTTTGGGAGGCAGTCCTAGAACTACTGGCAGCTTGCAGTTGCAGGAGATGCATGGTTCTCAGTGGAAGCAGTTCCACCCCTTTGAGTGGTCTTTGGGAATGGAGCCAGGGCGCATTTTTAGTTGTCACCGTACCTGAAATGCTGCTAGCAGTTAGTTGTCAGTGGCCAGGGATGCTAACATCCTGCAATGCCAAGGACAGTGCTCTAACATGGAGAATCATCCTTGCTCAAATGTCAATAGCACCCTGATGAACAAGGCATGATGGGTGTTTAAACAGAAGTTTTCTGTGATTGATGCTTGATGATGTTTACAGAAGGAATGGTCTGAGGTGGCAAAGATGAGACTCAAACATGGGAGTATGAGACTTTTCAGACATACTGGTACCGGCTAGACGGAGAGAGAGAGGGCATGGGGAGTGGGGACCTGCAAGGGGCCTGGCAGTGGGGATGATGCCATGCCCTGGGAGGCAGAGCCAAGTGGGGCTGCTGAACAGTTTGGCTGTGGCCCAGGCTCCCTCCAGGCAGCGAAGCTTTTTCCAGGCAAGGTGGGAGCTGATGCCAAGCCCTGCCCACTACCCAGAGCTTGCTCAGCTGCCCCGGAGCTCAAGTCAGCTGGCAGACCCTTGGGTGACTCCTGCATGGGCTGCCCTCCTCCCAGGTACTAGAAGTCCCCTCCTCTCCTTCCCAATAACGAACAGTCCTTCCTCTCCCATGTTAAATTTCTTTGGTTCTTCAGCCCAGGATCCTTTAATGAATCAGGCAAATTCATTAAAAGGAGTTTTTAATAAAAGTTGTTGGAAGACACCCCTGGCCTAAGTCTGGGGCTTCTGGTGGTTCCCTGGTAGGAGGGAGGGGTGGAAGGAAGACTCCCCTGCCCAGTCCAAGCCTCCTGAGGCCTGGTGGATGGGTCCAGGATGGAAGCCCACCATCCTGGTGGGATGGTTCCCACTCAATGGGGCCATTGAGTGGGCGGCAGTTGATGCTTCCATGTTGGTGACTACCTTTTTTTCTCTCTTGTTAGGCCTGTTCCCTTCAAAAGTTTCTGTGCCAACAGAGAGGCCCCTACCCAGACCCAGGATGGTGGGACGGAGGGGCTGAGACTGAATGACGAGGTTGGGAAGACATTTGTCCCCCTCCCCAAAGGGAGAAGTCGGGGATGTGCGAAGACCTTACCCACCTGCAGCATTGCACAAATGGCCTTGCCTTGGCTCTGACCTTTCACAGCTGCAATGGATGTTTACAGGAACCCAGCCAGCATATGCCTCCCTGCTCTTTAACCCTGACTGCACCTGCTTTCCCCACTTAACGTTCAAGAGAACACTTCAAGCTGCAGACACAGACATGAAAGCGACAGTCAACTCCAGCTGATGCCTGGAGCCCTTCGCCCAGCTGGGTGCGGCCCAGGCTGATCTTGGATGCAGCGACTGTTTCAGGGAGTGACTCCGGAGGAAGAGGCAAGGAATGTGTCCGGGGCTAAAGGCGGGGTATCGACTTATTCATTTCAAGTTGCTTCTTCATCCAGTTACCAAAACTGATCCATCGTGGCAGGAGAAGGCCATGTTGCTCCTCTGGCCAGAAATATTTTTAGAAAATGTGAATGGTATGAATACTGGACTTTGATAAACCTGTAAAAGCAATACTTAGGAGGCTAATTTCTTTCAATTAAAAAAAAATGTATGCAACTTCAACACCTTGGGGACCTGCTTTTCTTTTTAGATTCAGGAAAGGAATCCATAAGCAGAAAACCTCATGGTTGGCATAGGATGGAAGAGTCAGGGCCTCCCAAGTTGGAGGTCCAGCTGGGTTTGGAGAGTCTGCCCAATCTAGACTGTTGTGAGAGGCCGGACCAGTCCCCTTCCTGCTCCCACAAGCCTAACATACCCTTTGGGGTGTGGTAGCAAAGTCTTGGTGGCCAAGTTGGAAATTGGGCCCAAATCCCAGAGGAATCAGAGGTGTGGTATTCTCACCCTCCCTTTTCCACTGGGCATTCGGGAGACTCTAGTACAGATAAGGGATGGGGGGACGGAGGGAGGAACAAGTGAGTGAAATCGGGTCCACTTGCAGTTTCATGAAAAACAATAGCATACTTCTTTCTGGTTTGCAGAGCACCTGCTGCTTTCAAAGCAACCTTTCCCATGCACGCCATGTTAAACCAGGTCTAAATGATTAGTTCCATCCTACAGGTAAGCAAGCTGAGGTATGGGGGACTAAAGGTCCAGCCGAACTTGAGAGAAAGGACACTTGTGGCTCCGTCTGTCTCCATGTGATTCTAAGAAAGGGGATGCTAATAAATGTAAACAGAAGACATTCGAGAGGCCCAAGGTTAGTGTGAGAAGGGAGATGTCGGGAGAGGCCTGAGGAGAAAGTGAGGGTTGACAAGATGCCCTTGAAACCCACTAAACCTGAAATTATGCCACTGCATACAGCGTGACTTCAGACATCACATGCCCAGATTCCTGTGAGCGTCACTTCTCCCACCCGACAGGTGGGGCTCAGGGAGCAACTCCAGCCCACCGTGCCCAGCACATGGAGAGACCCGCCGAAGAAGTCAGAAGGCAAGTATGCATCTTGACTGCCTCCTTAAGCGGGCTGTGACCTTAGGCAAGTCACATCATCTATGAAATGGACACAGTAATTTGGCTACTTCATAAGATGACTTTGTGTTAATAGTTAATAACAAAGGTGCCCCTCTGAGCTGAGGTGACTCCACACCAGTACCCACAGCTCAGCAAGCAGAGCCCAGACAGGTTGTAACTTCTATTTATCCCCTTGTCCATCTGGACCTGGCAGCCCTGCCCAGAGGTTTTTTTAAATTTTACTAAAATGCAAGACTTACCAGAGCATCTTATTCACCAATGTGTACACAGTACATATTTGTGGGATGAATAAAGCAAAGTTCTGGTGAGCCTTATTTGTTCATTCTGCAAATGTTTATTGAGCACTTACTATGTGCTAACACTTTGCAGAGGGGGGAGGGCACAGCAATGAACAAAGCAGACAAATTACCTGCTCTACTAGAGCTCACATCCTATGATAAGAGCAAACAACACAACAAATAAGTGTAAAAATGATAAACTAGTGAGGTTAGAAAGTTGAGCAGGAGGAGACGAGTTGTCTGTGTTTAATGAAGTGATCTTATACACCTTCCTGAAGGGACATCCTTTAAACCTAGTCCTGAAGGATGGGAAGTCAGCCATGTGGACAGGTAGAAAGAACATTCCTGGCAAAGGCAAGAGGGAAACACATATTCATAGGAAATGAGGACAACTAACATGGATTGAGCTGTATCCCAGGCTCTTGTTAGTGTTAGTGCTCTACTCCCCTGTAGCCTCACAATGAAGACGGTACTATGAGTAGGCACATTTCACATATGAGAGACTGAGGCACAAGCAATTTGCACAGGTGGCGAGCTAGTCATTGAGCCCAAGTGACCTAGCCCTATAGTCAGTGCTGCTGGCCCAAAGCTGTGGTCCCTCTTGAGTAGGAAAGAGCTTAGCATGGTGCTTGACACAAAGTAAAAATCACTGCTAATATGTATTGAGCGATTATTATGTCCCTTGCACTGTGGTAAGTGCTTCATATGTATCAATTCATTTAATAGATGTAGCTATCATTTAAAATCATTACTATGAGTATTTATACCCTCTGACCTCATTTTGTCCTCTCTGAACAGACCAAAAGCTGTGCACACAGTAGTGCCCTCCCTGTCTGGCCAAGGGTGTATGCTAGGCACCTGGAATGGAGAGATATTGGCTTGATGTTCATCTCTCTGTCTGCACAAATGGGAGTCTTGTGGATGCCACAAAGCCCACAAATGCAGGGAAACTAAGAGGTAGTGCCCAAGCCATTTAGAAACCAACCCTGGGTCACAACACCCGATGCCCTTTGCAGCCATACCAAGGTGGAAGACCCGCGCCTCTCTGCAAGAATTGCCAACCAGGCAGCTAAGTATCAAACCCTCAGACTCACCCTACCCCTGATTCCCACCTGCTGGGAAGAGGAGATGAGTTTGGCCCCGGGTATCAGGGCTAGTGCATTAGGGCTGAATGGACAGCTTCCACTGCTGCCAAAGCCAAGTCATCCCAAACCAGGGCTTCTGGCCGAGCAGGCCATGCCCCAGTGAAAAACAACAATAGTCGAGCTGGCAGCTCTCTGGGTAGAGAGCAAAGCTGCCAACTCCCTTCCCGGCTTGCCCTTGCTGAGGCAGAATCCCAGCAGGGCTAAGGGATGGTTCCCAGAATGGAGTGGGGCTCAGGGGCAGAGGGAAGCAACCCCCTCTGCAAGGTGCTTTGACCTTGGTGTTCCCCTAATAATGACTTTTCCACTGAATCTTAGGACACTGTAAAAAAAATCCTTTCTGAAAAGACAAGACTTGGACCAGGGTGGACTCTGCTGTGTGTGAGCGCCTGTGCACATGCACGCGTGTGCGCGCGCACGCACACACACACACACACACATACACATGAGGTGGGGGTGGGGTAGGAAAGTGACAGCTCCTGTCACCCTGGACAAAGAATATGACAGAAGTGATGCTGTGTGACCCACGAGACTGGGTTGTAAAAGGGATACAACACTAGTCTGTTTTCTCTCCCTGTCTCCCCCTACCCTTTTCCTTTTTGGGCGATCACCCTACAGCCCAGCCACCATGCTATGACGAAGCCCAACTAGCCCACATACAGGGGACCTCTGCCGACAGTTCCTTAGAGGAACCTGGGCTCCCAGCCACCTGCCAGCACAGAATGAACAAGCCTTCAGATGGCCGCAGCTGACACTGAGTGGGACAGAAACGAGCCCCGCCCAAACGACAGGTGTGTGAGCAGAATAAAAGTGTGTGTTGTTTTAAGCCACTACATTTTGGTGTGGTTTGTGATACGTCAGATCACCAGAACAGTGGCTGCCCCAAAATGGTAATCATGATATAAACTCAAACACTGGACCTGCCTGTGGGATTGAATGTAGTGAAGAGATGCAGAAAATAAAGATAAAAAGGCAGATGTGTTCCCAGTCCACCTCCCTCCCCTCCTCCATTAGTGTACCATCAATTGATTGCCAGCTAAGGTCCAGTGCATCTGGCCTAGCTTTGGCCTTGGCAAGCAAAGTTAGTGCAAACAGTGAGTCCTGCAGACAGAGAACAGCTGCCTCAGCGTCCCAGCCTGTCACGGTTTGAGAATACATGGGTTGGAGGGTTCCTCTCTGGTCTCCTCAAACCACCAAGTGTGTGCTGTTCAGACAGCAGCCTGGAGAGGTACTTTCTCCCCAGGGTGTCAGGGAATTGGGTGGCTGTCTCAGTTTTTCACTCTGGACTGGCCGCGGCTGTCTGGAATGTCCTGTAGAAAATGCACCAGGGCTCCAGGGTGAACCGCAGCTGTCACCAGGTGCCTACCTGTCTGCCAGAGCTGCAGCAGCTGAGCAGGGCTGGTATCAACCTCAGCCCAGAAGGAGCCCAGAGCTGGGCCTGGGTCTGTCCACATACAGGCTGTGAGTCCTTTCCACAGCTGGCAGGGCCGGGTGCCAGGCCCTTGAGGCTCACAGGATATGACTGGAGAAGAGCTGTGTCCACAGACAACCAGTTCAAGGTCCAGTGTGGTCAGTGATCTTGGAGAAAGTGCTGTAGGAAGAAGGTCCAGAGAAGAGGTAGGTCAGGAAGCTGTAGGACGGGGTAGCTGGACACATGGACAGTGTTGTTGAGATTGGGGATAGAAGGGACTTGGAGGAAGAGACAAAGGATTTGGAGGGGACCTCACAGGCCAGAGGAGTGGGGAGGTGGGAGGACAGCCATATCTGCACAGTGAGAGGCGGGAGACCCATAGAGCAAGTTCCTATGAGGACCATCTAAGACATCGGGCAGCCAACAGACCCAAACAGCAATGCACATGGTTTAGAAGTTCCTGAAGGAAAATCTTTGCAATGCTAAGGGCTGTGGGTTGTGGACGGACCACCCACCCTGTCCTTGCCCCCAGTCTCTAATCCTTGCCACATGGAGGGTCCTCAGGGCCAGAGCCACAAAGCCTTTAGGACACCTCCACCAAGCCCAGAGCTGAGGGGGAGGCCTCAGATGGTACATGGTCCGGGGGTGGTCCCCCAGATCCTACCTGCTGCCCTGCCCACTTTTTATGGATTCTGCCTCCCCAGAATGCTGACCTCAGGGGTCTTTGTGGTCCTCCCCTCCCAAGTCCACCCCAGTTACCTCTTCCAATGCATAGCTGGGGTCATCTCAGGCTGATGCGGGAGTCCAGCTGCTGTAGGTGTTCCTGGACTCCAAAAGGGATGGTGGGTGTCCACATCCTGCAGTGGGACATGGGACACAGAGGCCAGGTTAGAGGAGAGAGTGTGACCTAGGGCCCCAAACATAAGAGGTCCCAAAATCTCTCCTCCTACTCAGCCTGGGACCTTGGGGACTTCCCAACTGGCAGGACTAGACCAGTGTGGAGATGTGGGGACAATAGAGGCCTAGGAACCCCAAGACCCTGTTCTTTAGACCTGGTTCTGCTGCTGACTTGCTGTATGACCTCAAAAATGTTCGTTCAACTCTCTGTGCCTCATTCTCCTCCTCTGTAATGCAGGTCCATTAGATCCACCCTATCCTCTTAAAAGATATGAGTGATTACATAAATTAAAATGCTTAGAAAGTGTATAAAGTACCAGTTTGGGACATTAGACATCATGGTGATATAATAATAAGTTGGAG